GGGCCGGGCGCGGAGCCCCCCCCCCCCCCCCAAGCAAGTCCCGTGCCACGGCAAAGCTTTTCAGTAGGACTCTGGTGAAAGGGCTGCTCAGCCTTCAGCGCAGCAGCACCAGTTCCACACTGCCACCCACCCGGCACAAAGCCCACGCAGGATGGAAAGCCAGCAATGGCCCGAGGCCAGGGGCTCCAGTGGGCAGTTACCCCCCTGGTAAAAATGCCCCCTCCTCCGAGTCTTGAGCTTTCCTGGTTTCCTTCCAGCCACTGGCTCTGGTCCTGGCTAGGTTAAAAAGAGCCATCTGCTAGGAGAATGGCTTTCTGCTGTGGTCATGGCTGAAGGAGGCAAATCCCAGGGTGCTGCAGGGAGAGGCGTGAGCGGCTGGGGGCAGGGCACACTCTGGTTAGTGCTACCTCAGTGCAGCTCTAGGGGGCGGTGTGATGCAGGGAGTGGAGTCACAAGCCCAGTAGGGGGCGCTCTCCCCCTTTGAGTCAGTACAGACCCCAATACCCCTGAGCAGCATTAGGGGGCCGTGCTATGGGGAGCAAGGGCAGGGTTACACAGCGCTGCAGCCGGGGCGGTTCACAGGGGGGGTCCCTCTGCAGCCTGGTACGAGGGCGCTGTGCCCCGCCAGCTACTCGGGCGGTCGCGCAGCCCTGGAGAATGGCGGAGGTGTTACCTGCACGACTCCACCGGGATTCACCCCGATCATCATGCAGATGCCGCGGAAGGCAGAGTCCTTCTCTTCGTTATCGCGGATATTCCGTAGAGACGTGCACCTGGGGGCCAGAGCACATCCCACAATCAGCACCGGGCAGGAGGAGGGGCTGGGCAGAAGGCTGGGGTGGGGGGAGCCGCTGAGACAGCTGCACCCTCAGGAACACCAGGGCACTGGTGTGACCACAACTAGGGAGCGGAGCCCAGAGCCGTCGGGCCCAAGAACCAGAGCTAAGTGACCCCTTGGCACTAGCACCACGACCACCAGAGATCCCAGACACATCCCCAGGCTACTACGAGCTTCTCATCCTTCTGTCCCTAGGCGCTGGACAAAAGGATCTCCTCCAGGCCCGCTGGCACAGCTGGGATGAGAACCCAGGTCTCCTAAAGCCCAGCCCATCCTGCCCCCTCCCCTCTGAGAAACCTGTCTGCAGGGACTCATGCTGCTGGCTCTCTGCTCCACTTGGCTTCCTGAGTCCCAGCCTGAGTTCCTGTCCGTGCATTACACCGAGTGCCAACACTCTAGACAAGCTTCCCTCTCTCCCCACCGGCACGGTTCTACTGACCAGGGTCGGATAAACTGCTGTAGCATCGGTGCGACCTCCTGAGGGCAGACGTAGCCCAGCCGTCCGATGGTGATGGCTGGAAGAGAGAGAACCCCATTGGAGAGCTGACGAGCGCATCGGGATCTCGCTCCGCCCAAGGCCACGGCAAGAGGGGCGACTAGGGGAGCGGAGGGAGACACCTTTCCCCTCCCAAGCAGCAAGGTCCCATCCGGCTGAGACGGAGCGCGAGCCAACAGGCCGTTGGGTAACTCTGATCCGACTCCCACCTCGGGATCCCAAGACTAGCTGCCTCGTTCCCTTGCCAGCCTCCGAGACATAACTCCAGCCTCGGCTGTGGGGGCCTGCCAGGCGGAACGGATGCCGAGAGGCAGGATCTGGCGTAGGGATGTTAAATGTAGATGAAATCGGCTAATCGATTGGTCGATAAGGGCGCCTCTGCCTCTGGCCATTGGGGGACCTAAACAATCCCGCGCCGGCCCCGTGCTCCCCGTGGTGTTTCAAAGCGGCAGCACCACATGGAGCCTGGGATTAGTGGGGGGCAGGAATGGAGGTTTTCCTTGGAGGAGGAAGACAAACACCTGTCTGGGATGGTCTAGATCAGTGTTCCTTAATCAGCGCTATGAGTACCCTTAGGGGTACTCGAGAGAAATCTGTGGGGTGAGGGGACTTAACTGACATTTGGAGAAAACTGAATTTTTGTTGTAAGTTTTACAGCGCTTTATTGGTTTGTACTTTTTACACCCAAAAGTTTCATCGTCCCCCCGGCTACAATTAAGTTGTTAAAACAAATGTGTTGCAATGGTAGGAAAAAAATGGGTATGTTTGAAAACTGTAGGTACTGGGGGGACTCTTTTTTTTTTAAAGGGGGTTGCTTTATAAAAAAAGGTTGAGAAACACTGGACTAGTCGTTCACATCCCTAACTGTGCGGGAAGCTTGTCCTGCTGCCATCAGGGCTGTGGGTCTTGATTCTGGCGGTCAACTGGCTTCTTGCACCAGGCTTAAGGTACCTACGGCAGGGGAAACACCTGTAGAAGGGTTCCTTCCCCTCTGTTCCAGGAAGAGGTGCTTGGGTGCGTTTCCTGGCTGGGGAACAGGCCAGCAGCCCTACCTCACCATTTAAGGGTGGCAGTGGGGAGCAGGGTTCCTCTAGCCCCCCAATACACCCATCTCTAGCTGACGGCAGACTGGCGTCTCCCTGGCCAGCCCTGGTTCCCAACGGCACCCAAGTCAGTTTCGCTCACTAGAGCGAATCCAGCTCCCAGCCTGGCAGTCCCTGCTCGAGCCAGAGGAGGGGGTGACATGCTGGGGTCCCCAGCTCACCCGTGTTCTCCAGCAGCGTTTTGGGGGTGTTGGGCCGGTTGATAATCTCCACCAGGTTGTTCAGGACCATCTGGACGTACGGCTGCATTTCCGCCCCTGTCGGGAGGAGAGCTCGGTCGGCTCCATCTTTGACGTGGCTCATTAAGCTTCCTCCTAGACCCGCCCTCCTTAGGGCTCATCTCAGTGAATTAATATTCACAGCCCCGCTGCGAGGCAGATCAGCACCGCTTCAGATGGGGAAACTGAGGCACTGACAAGGCACTGCCTAAGACTGATGTGTGGCAGAACCAGGATTTGATCCCAGATCTGACTCCCAGCCCCACAAGCCCTCTGACCCTTGGACCTATCCCCCTCCCAGAGCCGGGGACAGCGCTCCGGAATCCTGGCTCCCAGCCCCCGCACAATGCATGAGCCACTGCACGAGGCAGGATTGCCACATCTCTGCAGTGCGGGGATGCTTTAGCACCAAGGGCCTGGGTGACTGCGACGCCACTCCCAGCCTCCCCCTCCCCCCCCCATTCAATGGGATCAATGCAACCCCCCACCCCAGCTGGTTTGAACTCCTATGTGCCAGAGCTCACCACCCGTCCCCGAGATCCGCAGCCTGGGGCGGCAGGCAGGGGCTGCGTGGATCTCCCTGGCGGACACCAGGCCCTGGCAGGCTTACCCATCTGCATGCAGATCTCCCCGATGGCCCAGGTGGCGTTGTTGCACACCGAGATAAACTCCGGGTTCAGGTTGGTGCCCAGGATGGGCATGAACTCAGCTACAGAGAGGAAGAGGAAGAGGAAGGACGGGGGAGGGAGGTGTCAGTGGTATCGAGGATACAGGCAGGGCACAGACTCAAGAGGGGATCTACTGCCCTTCCCCCCCACCCCTCACCGTAGCCTCTGGGGCACTTTCCAGGTTAAATCCAACAACAGCAGCTAAAGTCTCTGGCTTGCTTCGGGGAGTCGCTGGCGCCTCTTGGGACCAGCACAGTGTGAAGGGACCTACCGACAGGCCAGTTCTTCCTCCTCATGGTCCTGGCTGGAGCCCCGAGCTGAGAATGGGGCCCCATGGGGCCAGCAGCTGCCCAGAGTGACAGTCCCTGCCCCCACAAGAGCTCGCAGGCTACACAGAGGATCATCACCCCCATTGTACAGGAGACACTGAGGCACACAAGCTCTTCAATGGCTTGCCCAAAGTCACGCAGGGAACCCACGGCGGAGGCTGGGATGGATCGGTCCCAACCCCACCCCCCCACCCCAAGGCCGGTCTGCCCGTCTCTGGATCAGACAGTATGAATACTGCAACGGTCACGGCAAGAGCTCCCGCTCTCCAAATTTCTTCATCACTTCCAGAGGCCAGGGGTCCCCCAGCAGGGAAGCGGCGCGAGGGCGCGGCGCAGGGACCTACCGATGCAGGGCTTGACGTGCAGGAAGCAGGCCTTGGTGAGGTCTCCCAGGAGGGCGAAGGAGCTCTGCCGAACCTCCGGCATGGTGTCCTGCAGGGAGCAACGGCGAGAGGTCAGCGCCGGAGCTCGGCAGCCGCCTCTGGGCCGCGCCTGTTACCCCCGGCCCCAGCTCACCTGCATGCACTGGAACAGCAGCGTCATAATGTTGCTTCTAGCCACCAGCTGCTCCACGTGGCAGCCTAGACCCTCCGCCAAGCCGCTCAACAGATCCAGGGCCACGATCATGAAGTCCTTGTCGGGGGCCTCGTACTGGTCGGGCTGCTGATTGTACATCTGAGGGGAGAGTTAAGGCTTTACCAAAGGGAACCCTTGTCACGTTATGGATTTTAAGGGGAGCAGCCGGATCACTGCTGCATCCATGGGGGGGGGAGGGTATTTGCCCCACAGAGTATACAAAGGGGGCCGTGGGAGGGGTCACATGAAAGCTTGTGTTCTACTGATTGTGTGTGTGCTACTCGTGTACTTGTGTGATGTCTGTATGTGGAGTTAAGTACCTACTTTGTGTTGGTGCTGGAAAACTCTGTCTGAGGCAGAGCAATGTGCCAGGAATATTCATTCAATGGCTAGGCTAATTAGCGGGCTCCTGATCCCAGACGCAGCCTTGCAAGGAACAACGAGCTGGAAAGAACCGTGGACCCATCCTGACATAGGATGGACACCAGAGACTTTTAAGACAGCAGTTTGTAACATCTCTGCTGAGAGCCTGCATCGAGAACTGGGGGATTCGCTGCACGTAAAGTATTCTCCTTAACCTCACGCTCAGGCTTTTCTTTCTCTTAGTAATAAACCTTTAGATTTGAGATTCTAAAGCAGTGGTCCCCAACGTGGTACCCGTGGGCACCATGGCTCCCGCCAGGCCATTTATGTGCGCCTGCCGAGTGATCAGGGCCGGCCAGCAGCCCCAAAAGGTAGGGGACCCCTGTTCTAAAGGATTGGCTCAGCGTGGTCTGTGGGTAAGATCCAGTGTCAATTGACTGGGACCTGGGGCTGGTTTCTTGGGACCCGAAGAACCCGTTCGGGATAGGTGAGATTGGGTTCTATAGCCCCTCACCTGTGTTAGGCCCGGGGCTGATTGGGGCACAGGAAGAGCTGGGGTGTCCGAGGGGTTTTGCTCGTGAGGCTTCTGGCTGGCCAGACGCAGCTGAAGCGCTCGGTGCGACTGGTCTGTGGCCTATTTGGGAAGGTCTCCAGCCTGGGGCTGTAAGGAGCCCTGAGTTTGAGCAATTCGCCCTGAGCAGATGCCCTCAGCTGTGCCCAGACCGGCCTGGTCCGTCACAACCCTCCACCCCCAAACACTCAGTCTGGAGCCAGGAGACACAGGCTCAATTCCCCCTTGACATGTGTTTCCATTGGTGGTGCACATCTGTGCATGCCTTTGTGCACATACAATTTATTCCGCACATGGATGGACATTAAGAGGAAACATTGCAGACCAGGTTCCCTGTCTCACCCGCAGCAAGGAGTCCCGCACTCACCATGGCCTGCGCGAGCGTTTTCTGCACCAGCGTCACGCAGCGCTGGTAGACGGGTTCACAGTACGGGAGGAAGCCACTCTGGAGAGCGGTTGCTACAGATGACAAACACTGGAGAGAGACACACCACAGGTCTAGTTAGAGGGGACTTCCCGAGTATTTCATTGGACGCAAGCGCCCCCCACCCCATCCCGAGCTCCATGGCTCTCTCCCGTGCACACTTGGAAAACCCGATTGCAGCAATTCTCCAGAGCTGCTGGTGCTAACGATGGGAGACCCCGATACCGACCCATTCCCCCAGCCGGCTCTCACCCGCCCTCTCTGACAGTTACTCACTTCTAACAGAGGGAAGAGATCCTTGTCCTCATCCTTCAGTTCGTTCCACTTCTGAATCAGGGGGGGCATCAACTTCTGGATGTACTCCTAAAGGAAGGGAGGCAGGAAGAGAGACCAGGGTGATCGTGGGGGGGTTTACACTCTGGTCTAGTGTGGGTACTTTTCTATACCCACCCCCCCCACGCCCATCACCATCCTAGCCAAGTGCATTGCTCTCTGTAGGGCTGTGTGCTTGTCGCCATTTTGTAGAGGGGAACTGAGGCAGAAAGGTTAAGTGACTTGCCCAAGGTCTCACTGGGCGTCGGTAGCAGAGTTGGGAAGTGAACTCACGGCCCAGGCTCACATGCCCACCACTGGGCCATCCCTCTCCAGCAGTCTAAGCCCAGCCCAGGACTCTCAGAAGGAAAAAGGAGTCAGCATGTCGCTTCAGGATTCGAATGTCATCTTCATTCATCATGGACCCCGGGCTGGGAGTTGCATGGAGAAGGCGCCAAGGGATCCAGGCCACCATGGAAGTGCTCCATCGGGACCAAGGCAGCTGCGCGGTTGCCCACCCCGGCAGCAAGCAACGGAGGGTCAGACATCAGGGGAAGCGTCCCGGGCGCTCTCTTCCTGCCCCACTGGGCGGGGCAGCTGGGAGCAACGAAGCGCTGGCGCCGGTACCCCCAGCATCACCAGCGGAGCGACGGAGGGGGGTGGGCAGCACCTACCGGCTGGGTTAAGTGATGCCCCACGGAATCGGCCAGGGTGCCAATCGCGTCGTACAGGATCAGCAGGTTCTTGTGCTGGTACTTCCCAAAGGCAAACACCAGCGTGTCCAGGATGAAGCTGAGATAAGGGACCAGCTCTGTACAGGCCTCCTCCTCCAGGGTGGCAAAGGGGGTGGGAAAGGGGAGGAAGAGAAGAAGCCACATTGTCCGACCGACACAAACTGGGGGCAGGCCCAAGCGGCAAACTCAGCCAGGCCCGGGCAGCTTCAAAAGCCCACGAAGCCCATGCCTGTGCCCCCTCGTAATGAGACAAGCCAGAGAGCAGCTCGAGCCTCTCTGCCCCTCCCCTGGCGAGTCTCCGCACCAGTCAGAGTAATGGAGGATGAGTCACGGTTAGGATCAAGCTTCAAGTTCCTCATCACGAGCGGAGACGAGCGCCGTGGAAAGCTGGGGCCAGGCCCCCGCCGCGGCGCACCCCCA